ACGGCGTGAGAGGAAGAAAGCCATATCAGATGATTATATCACCTTTTTGATGGAGGACATGAATGACATGGGAAATGTGGAGGATCCAACCTCATATAAGGAAGCCATTAAAAGCGAAAATTCGTCCAAATGGTTGGTTGCCATGGAAGACGAGTTGAAATCTATGGGCTCAAACCACGTATGGGACTTAGTAGAAGTTCCCGATGGAGCTAAGAAAGTAGGCTGCAAGTGGGTCTACAAAACCAAGTATGATTCCAAAGGGAATGTCGAACGGTTCAAGGCAAGGCTAGTGGCAAAAGGGTATACACAGAGAGAAGGCATTGATTATAAGCAAACCTTCTCTCCTGTGTCAACCAAGGATTCTTTCAGAATCATAATGGCTTTAGTAGCTCATTACGACCTAGAACTACACCAAATGGATGTTAAAACGACATTTCTAAATGGTGACTTAAAAGAAGATGTTTACATGGCTCAGCCAAAAGGCTTTGTTGTGGAAGGAAAGGAACATTTAGCATGTCGTCTAAAGAAATCAATTTATGGCTTGAAGCAAGCTTCAAGAGAGTGGTACCTCAAGTTTGATAAAGTTATCAAAACTTTTGGTTTCACCGAAAATGTTGTGGACAACTGCATATACGTTAAGTTTAAAGGCAGTAGGTTCACATTTTTAGTCCTATACGTTGATGACATATTATTGGCATGTAGCGATAAGGATATGCTACATGAGACCAAGAATTTTCTGTCATCCAGTTTTGATATGAAAGATCTTGGTGAAGCCTCGTATGTCCTCGGCATCGAGATTCATCGAGATAGGTCCAGAGGAACGTTAGGACTATCTCAAAAGGCATACTTGGAGAGAGTACTGAAAAAATTCAATATGCATAAGTGCTCACCCTCACCTGCTCCTATAGTTAAGGGCGATAAGTTTGGGACATTTCAATGTTCGAGGAACCAATGCGAAACTGATCAGATGAAGTCGGTTCCTTATGCTTCAGCTGTTGGAAGCATCATGTATGCTCAAGTATGTACACGCCCAGACTTATGTTTTGTAACCGGGGTGCTTGGCAGATACCAATCAAATCCAGGACCGGACCACTGGAAGGCCGCAAAGAAAGTCTTGCGTTATATGCAAGGAACTAAGGATTTCATGCTTACATATAAAAGAACTGATAACCTAGAAATTGTTGGTTATTCAGACTCTGATTTAGCCGGGTGTGTGGATAGTATGAGATCCACGTCAGGTTATATATTCACACTCGCGGGAGGAGCTATATCGTGGAAAAGCTCCAAACAAACGTTAACTGCTGGATCTATGATGCAGGCAGAATTTGTAGCATGTTATGAGGCCACCGGGCAGGCTGTATGGCTAAAGAATTTTATACCCGGACTTAAAGTGGTTGACAGCATATCTAAACCAATTTTATTGTACTGCGATAATGAACCAGCAGTTTTCTATACGAGTAACAACAGGTCAAGTAATGCTGCCAGACACATTGACATAAAGTATCGTGTTGTGAAAGATAGAATCCAGGATCAAACAGTTGATGTTAAACATATAAGAACGATGCATATGCTTGCGGATCCGCTAACAAAAGGCTTACCACCCAGTATTTTTCGTGAGCATGTTGCCGGCATGGGACTACTGGAGGCCTGATGATTCTGGAATAAGAGGACCATTAAAATAAACCACTCCCCAATTAGCAAAATGTTTTCCATTTCGAAATAGGCGGGTGTACTATAAGTGTTGAGGTTCTGTGGCGTTTCAAGCTGTTGTAACACCTCACTTTGGTACATCATTCCTATGTAGAATGGGCGAATGAAGTTAAGCCTAACGATCAAGGGGGAGAATGTTGGTTTTGATCTGACGGCTTAAACAGGCCAGTTAGATCTATTAGTTTAACAAAAAAAAGGGAAAAGATAACGTTAATGAAAAGGCCCCACGCACCAACGTACGTGATGTTTTTATCCCAACTAAGGCGCCCTGATCGGGGGCACCCAAACCAACTGATGGTTTAGGTCCCCTGTCGCCAGCGCTACATAAAAGGGAACGGGAGAGGGTTGGCAGCCTATGTGATCACAATTCTCGTACGGTTTCACTCCCCTCCCGATATTCTCTCACCCCATCCGATCAGGGGGAGCGCTGCAGCGACGGGAAGACCTACTCCAGCCGCCGCTCCCGTCCCCGGGCAGTGCCGGTGGCGTCCTGAGGGCATCAGGACGTTGAGGAGGACTTCTACCTCGACTACATCACCTCTGCATCAAGCCTGCACCAAGCAGGCGATCATGTCCACTGTCGTGACACGTAATGATCCCCTAAACCCTTCTCTGTTCATGTTTTAGGTGATCTAGATGCAATCTGTTCCTGCTAATGGCATCCCAGAGATGCATAATTACTCCAACAGGGTTATCTCTTGCGTAGCTGGATTAACATTCCATTAATCTCCTCCCCGCTGCGGGTGCCTCTCCTCTGCCACAACCCATGTTTTTGTGAGAGAATTAGGGGTAGGGTCGTCAAATCTCTCCGCTTTTCGCTGGCTATTTTATCTAGCGTCATTTGTATTCACTAGTTAATGTGGCTCTGTATATACAAAAAGAACCCAAAACTTGCCCAAACGTCAGCAGCTAACCTTTCATGCCAAGGCGCCGGTTTAAAATCGATGGAAATTTGACAAGACAAAAATGTCAGTTTCATTGTTGCTGCTACTGACAACTTCCTCTTGTTTATATGGACCAATCAATGTGTAGAGGTGACTGCAAAAAATAGGAGGACTACATGTATCACCCTTGTCTTAGTTTATCCTTTGTTGTTATTTTATGTTAGCTTCTATTGTATATGATACCAACGTGGTTAGAGTGAAACCATATGACAAACAAATGATGTCAGTGATTAGGTGATGGTATTGACCAGCAAATCAAATGAGGGCCGGCAGCAATTACAGGCCAGGTTCAGTCCATTAGCCCAGTAATCCCCTCCTCCACCTAGGTAGGTAGGTAGTTACAGCCAACATAAGTGAATTAGTTCCCTCAAAATAAAAATAGATGAATACAAAACCTTCACCATGTTAGTATTCTTTATCCTATTGTAATTTTGTGCAAATAACTTCATGCAGTACAGTTCAACTTTGAAACCTTCTGTACGCTTGAAGATGTAACCAGGTAGAGAAAGCTGGCTATATTTCCGTGTTTCGGTTGAGCGCGAACAAAATTAGCTGGTTAATCTCTTCGCCTCGCCTCTTGCATAGCTTGATAGGGACAGCCTACCCATTCAACACGGGTTTAGTTAGCGTCATTTATATTCACAAGTTGATGTGCCTCTATATGTTTAAAAATAGTTCAACTTGGCCAAACGGCAGCTAGCTAACCTAACATGAAAACTTGGCCTCCGCTGTGAAGACAAAAATGTCATTGTTGCAGCTAGTAACAACTCCCCCTTATTTATATGGATCAACCAATGTGTAGAGGCGACTTGCAAATAAATAAATAGAAATGCTACATGGATCAGACCTAGGCTTGGTACCCTTGTGTTAATTTATCTTTTGTTATTTTTCTTTAGTGATCCAAACGGTCTTATATTTCTTTATAGAGGGACTATTATATATGATGCCAACTTGGTTAGACCGAAACAAATGATGTCATTGATTAGGTGATGGTATCATGTGGAGTAGGTGTACATTCATGCATTGACCAGCAAATCAAATGAAGGCCGGAAGTTCAGTATGAAAAATAGTGACCTAAACAGGGTCCAAATTGAGTGCATTAGCTCATTCATTTACCCTCGCCAAGCTAGGCAGATACAGACAACTAAATTAGTTCCCTAAAGGTAAAATAGATGATGATGAAGCCTCCACTAAGTTACTGTTTCTTTATCCCATTGTAATTTTTACAATTAACTTCATGCAGTACAATTGAACTCTGAAACATTCTCTGCGCTTAAAGATGTAACCAGGTAGCAAAAGCTCCATCATGGCTCTTCATTTTTTTTTCTTCCCTTTGCACCAACATGCATTTGTTCACACCATCACATGCCATGCCATGAAGACCGCAACGGCGCTACCGGCCTGTGATGAGATCTGGCGGGAGATTGACTTGTAGCTGCTGATCACACACACGCAGAGTAAAGCAAGCAGCCAGGGGTGGCTCATATCTAGGGATACACATACACATCTCAGACCAACGAGACCATGCATATTTTGGGTAGTTTGTACTGATTAATCCATCCGTTTCTATTTACATAATGTTTTCATTATTCGAATATGATTTTAATGACATATATTTGTGGCGCCTAATCAAGGTTTAGTTGGTCAAACTGATTTAGAAGGTCTAGGCAGGAAGGATGGAGGGAGTAGTTTATTTGTAGTAGCTGATGGCAGCCCCTCGCCTAACTTCTTAATAGTTAATTACCAGAGCACATCCGATCTAGATCAGATCCGTTTGAGGGCTAAACACCCACTAACTCACTCCCTGTTTTTCATCATCTCTCTCTGTCCGGCTCTCTCACCTCCCGGCCCTGCTGCTCTTGTTATCTGCCTTGCTGACCGGCAACGAGGCTCAAAGTCTCCTCCTCCCCGGCCCGCAGCGCCATCACGTCACCCTCTCTCCGGCAGCGCAGCTGCACAGCAGCAGGTACCAAAGCTATCTCTGTGCATATGTAATCTAAGGTGTGTTCCTGGCTTTCTGCAGGCCTTAACTCAGTCCTTTTGTAGTTGGCTAGACATCCAGGCAGGCGGCGCCCATCACCGGCAGTCCTGCACCATATGAAGGAAGCATCCATCACCAGCACTCCTGCACCATAGGAAGGCAACATCCATCACTGCCAAACACCCATCTCGTGCCTGCGCGTCAACGTATATTGTACACACTCTTCCTCTTTTAGTTTGCAGCTACCAGATGCCAGGATTAATCACTTTTGATTGGTGGCGGCAAATTAATGCATGTGCATATCGATGAATGATTGGATTCCCTTGGGTTCCTGGATCGATGCAGGTTGTCGATCCCTGCATTAGATGGGGATGTACGCGGCGCTCCGCGCGGTGCAATGGGTGGTGGGCAAGGCGCTAGCCCCCGTTGCGGATGGCGTGCTGGGGGCTTGGGCAGCCACCAAGAACTTTGGTTACAACGTTGAGGCCCTCAGCACGGAACTGCTGCTCGTGAAGGCCACCCTCGAGCAGGCTGCCCACAAGGAGCTCGGAGGCCCGGCAATGGAGATGCTGCTGCAGAAGCTGCGGGACTCGACGGGGAATGCCGAAGACTTGCTGGACGAGCTGGACTACTTCCGCATCCATGACGAGCTCCATGGTACGTACGATGCCGCCACCGAGCACGACAAGGGTTGTATCCACAACCTTGCCCTCAATGCTCGCCACACTGCCAAAGCTGTTGGCAAACTAGTCAATTGTTGCGCTTGGCAACATGCTAAGCGCCGGCAGAGGTCACGCAACAATCCCTACTCAACGCCAAACGCCAATCAGGAGGTCAATGGATGCATGTCCAAGCTCGGTAAACTCCTCCCTTGCTCATCTTCCTCACATCCACGTGTTGGTGATGGTGATCGTGGCAGTGAGCCAGAAACACCAAAGCTTGAGTTTAGTAGGGTTGATTTCTCTCAAAGGATGAAGGACGTCTTAGAGAAACTGCAGCTTATGCGCAATGAGGTTAGCAAGATTCTGATACATTGTGGCCCTAGAACTGTCCCAGACATTGCCCAGTTTCGTCCTATCACCAAAGGTCGAATTGCTGAGCCAAAACTGTACGGGAGAGACTGTGTCATGAATAGCATCATACATGACATCACCAAGGGTCAATACTGTGATAAGGGTCTAATTGTGTTTCCGGTTGTTGGTTTGGGGGGAATGGGGAAGACAACTCTGATAGAACACATATATCACAATCAACAAGTGTTGGATCATTTTCCAGTCATGATTTGGATATGTGTGTCACTCAATTTCAATCTGGATAAGGTGCTAGAACAGATTAGGACAAGTACCCCTGAAGTGGAAACTGAAAAAAAAGGTAGTACAACTGAAGAGCTGATTGAACAAAGATTAAAATCTAAAAGGTTCTTACTTGTATTGGATGATATATGGCAGATTAGCAATGAGGATGACTGGGGAAAATTATTATTAACATTCAGTAAATCACGAGAGAAGGGTTCCATGATTCTCATCACAACTCGGTTCCAAGCAATAGTAGAGAAAATTAATGCAACTAATCACTCTATAAAACTGGACGGTTTAGAATCTGAAGAGTTTACAAAGTTATTCCTTTCATTTGTCTTTGGTGATGAACAATGTCCAAGGGATAAACATTTTCTTCTTGAGACTGGAGATAAGATAATGGAAAAATTAAAGGGATCCCCTCTTGCAGCAAAAACAGTTGGTAGATTACTGAGTAAAGATCTTAGTTTGGGTCATTGGAAAAGAGTCCTAAAAAGTAAAGGATGGGAGAATCAGACTGATGGCAATGAAATTATGCCTGCCTTGAAGCTTAGCTATGACTTTCTCCCTTTCCATCTAAAACAGTGTTTTGCTTATTCTGCACTGTTTCCTGAAGATTACCATTTCAGAAGTGAAGAACTGATCAGTCTGTGGATCGGACTGGATATTTTAATACCTACTGGCCAAAACCAAACATCTGAAGACATAGGTCTAAGCTATTTAAATGAGTTGGTCATCCATGGATTCTTCAGAGAAGAGGAAATTGATGCTGGTTTGTGTTATGTTATGCATGACCTACTGCATGATTTGGCATTGAAGGTTGCATCTCATGATTGTCTCAGTTTACGTCTCCCTGGTGTTGGATCAGTAGAGATTCAACCAACCATCCGTCACTTGTCTATAAGTGCACATGACTTAGGTAAATATGATGCAGTGTCTGGTAAAATTTTTAAGAGTGAATTGGAAGAAGTGAAGATAAGATTTAAGGTTGAACATTTGCAGACATTGATGTTATTTGGAAAAATGGATGAAGGTTTTGTCAGGATATTTAGTGATATTTTTGGGGAAGCGAACACTCTTCGTGTTCTTCACTTACCCAACATGTTTTTTCCCGTCGAGTCCATGTTACATAACTTTTCAGGAATTGTCCATCTACGATACCTATGTCTAGGGACAAAGGAGAGTCGGATGCATTTACCACTTAGCATCTCTAAATTTTATCATTTAAGGATTCTAGATCTTAAGCAGTGGTATGGCAGTGCTGATTTGCCCGAAGACATGCTAAGCGCCGGCAGAGGTCACGCAACAATCCCTACTCAACGCCAAACGCCAATCAGGAGGTCAATGGATGCATGTCCAAGCTCGGTAAACTCCTCCCTTGCTCATCTTCCTCACATCCACGTGTTGGTGATGGTGATCGTGGCAGTGAGCCAGAAACACCAAAGCTTGAGTTTAGTAGGGTTGATTTCTCTCAAAGGATGAAGGACGTCTTAGAGAAACTGCAGCTTATGCGCAATGAGGTTAGCAAGATTCTGATACATTGTGGCCCTAGAACTGTCCCAGACATTGCCCAGTTTCGTCCTATCACCAAAGGTCGAATTGCTGAGCCAAAACTGTACGGGAGAGACTGTGTCATGAATAGCATCATACATGACATCACCAAGGGTCAATACTGTGATAAGGGTCTAACTGTGTTTCCGGTTGTTGGTTTGGGGGGAATGGGGAAGACAACTCTGATAGAACACATATATCACAATCAACAAGTGTTGGATCATTTTCCAGTCATGATTTGGATATGTGTGTCACTCAATTTCAATCTGGATAAGGTGCTAGAACAGATTAGGACAAGTACCCCTGAAGTGGAAACTGAAAAAAAGGTAGTACAACTGAAGAGCTGATTGAACAAAGATTAAAATCTAAAAGGTTCTTACTTGTATTGGATGATATATGGCAGATTAGCAATGAGGATGACTGGGGAAAATTATTATTAACATTCAGTAAATCACGAGAGAAGGGTTCCATGATTCTCATCACAACTCGGTTCCAAGCAATAGTAGAGAAAATTAATGCAACTAATCACTCTATAAAACTGGATGGTTTAGAATCTGAAGAGTTTACAAAGTTATTCCTTTCATTTGTCTTTGGTGATGAACAATGTCCAAGGGATAAACATTTTCTTCTTGAGACTGGAGATAAGATAATGGAAAAATTAAAGGGATCCCCTCTTGCAGCAAAAACAGTTGGTAGATTACTGAGTAAAGATCTTAGTTTGGGTCATTGGAAAAGAGTCCTAAAAAGTAAAGGATGGGAGAATCAGACTGATGGCAATGAAATTATGCCTGCCTTGAAGCTTAGCTATGACTTTCTCCCTTTCCATCTAAAACAGTGTTTTGCTTATTCTGCACTGTTTCCTGAAGATTACCATTTCAGAAGTGAAGAACTGATCAGTCTGTGGATCGGACTGGATATTTTAATACCTACTGGCCAAAACCAAACATCTGAAGACATAGGTCTAAGCTATTTAAATGAGTTGGTCATCCATGGATTCTTCAGAGAAGAGGAAATTGATGCTGGTTTGTGTTATGTTATGCATGACCTACTGCATGATTTGGCATTGAAGGTTGCATCTCATGATTGTCTCAGTTTACGTCTCCCTGGTGTTGGATCAGTAGAGATTCAACCAACCATCCGTCACTTGTCTATAAGTGCACATGACTTAGGTAAATATGATGCAGTGTCTGGTAAAATTTTTAAGAGTGAATTGGAAGAAGTGAAGATAAGATTTAAGGTTGAACATTTGCAGACATTGATGTTATTTGGAAAAATGGATGAAGGTTTTGTCAGGATATTTAGTGATATTTTTGGGGAAGCGAACACTCTTCGTGTTCTTCACTTACCCAACATGTTTTTTCCCGTCGAGTCCATGTTACATAACTTTTCAGGAATTGTCCATCTACGATACCTATGTCTAGGGACAAAGGAGAGTCGGATGCATTTACCACTTAGCATCTCTAAATTTTATCATTTAAGGATTCTAGATCTTAAGCAGTGGTATGGCAGTGCTGATTTGCCCGAAGACATGAGCAACCTTGCCAAATTGTCCCATCTTTATGTTCCAAGTGATGATCAACTTCATTCTGATATTTATAACGTGGGGAAACTTAAACTCTTAGAAGAGTTAAAGGTATTTCAAGTCAATAAAAAAGTGAAGGATTTGAACCAAAGCAATTGGAGAATTTGACCAAGCTAAGGGAGCTTGGCATCTACAACCTTGAGAAAATACATACAAAAGATGAAGCGTCTCAAGCAAAACTGATGGAGAAAAACCACTTGAGGAGGTTAACATTGGTCTGGGATAGTGAGCGATCTAGTGTCGAGCCTGGTGTGGAAGCAATGGTTCTTGAGAGCCTTCAACCACACGTAGATCTTCAATTGCTATGTATTAGAGGGCACAGAGGCCTTTCTTGTCCAACATGGCTGGGTGATGAGTTCGCTGTTGAAGCTCTACAATCTCTTTATCTTTGTGATGTTTTCTGGGAAGTTTTCCCTTCTTTAGGGAAGGCGTGGGATCTTCATGAGCTAAAGTTGAAGCATATTGCCACAATCAAGGAGTTTATCATAGAGAAAAGCTTTTGCATGCTAACAAAGCTTAAACTCATTGGCCTAGGAAGTTTTGAAAAATGGGTTTACCCAGCTGAACAAGAGTCTTCCGTTGATGGAGACTTTTTGCCACCGGATGCTCATATGTTCCCTCTTTTGCAAGTTCTGATTATTAGGAAGTGCCCGAAACTATTGGGGTTGCCTTTCTCAAACCATACTGTTTCTCCAGATTGGTTTCCCAAGCTACAAGAGCTTGAGATAAAAGACTGTCCAGAATTCTTGTCAGTGATTCCCATGTCTTGGATTGAAAGTTTGCGTCATGTCATAATTCAATATGTCAAGCTGCTATATGTGTTTGAATACTCAAAATCATCTGATAGAGCAAAATTGGATATTATGGGGAAGGGTGATCTGCATAGCTTAGATGAGGTGTTAGTTTTCGATAAAGAAACAAGTCTTGAGATCCTGACACTCGGAAGTTGCCCACCTCTGGAGTTGAAGCACCTTCTGACGCTAACCTCGTTGAAGAAATTGATCGTAAAACGTTCAGATGATCTAGTTGGACCAATAGGAGGTCAGGGTGATGTGGAATGGCAGCTCCCTGTTGAGTATATCTGCATTGACAACTTAAATGGTAATATTGGGGAGGAATTGACAGAGCTCCTCCCCCACCTCCCAAAGCTCTCCAAATTGATTATACGGGGGTGCAGAAACATAAAAAAGCTCCTAGTGCAGGTGGATGTGCAACAAACAACATCAGAAGCATCAGGGATGGTCGGAGGTGAAATAACAGCAGCGGCAGAGGAAGAGGACGATGGGGTGCTGCTCTTCCCAGCTCATCTCTCTGACTCACTATGGGAAATGGAGTTTAATAGCTGCCCAGAGCTGGTCCTGGTGGACCCACCGACTCTAGTTCCTGGTGGAGGATGGCTCAAAGCCTTGGGATCCCTCCAGAGGTTAAGCATCACATTTTCCCCAGAGTTTCTATCTTCTATCTCGTTTTCCCATCACATTTTTCCTGCCTCCCTGCAATTCCTGGAGATTGCGCATGTGAAAGGCATGAGGACATTGGAGCCCCTCTCAAATCTATCCTCGCTCAACACATTAGAATTGTGGTATTGCGGAGAGGATCTGAAATGTGAGGGCTTGCAGTCTCTCCTTACCACCAGGGGCAAGCTCAATGAATTAACAGTCCGTGGAAGCCCTAGGTTCTTTGTTGGTTGGGATCCTAGTGCCAGACGGGTGCTGGAGGGCGTTGAAGGAGGAGAAGAGCAACAGACACAACTTGTTTCATCCACACTACGGGAGCTCTCCACGGATGATGCAACGGAACTCCTTGTTGCATCCATCTGCAGCTTCCTCTCTTCCTCCCTCACCAAGCTGCAACTTTATGGAAGTTTGTCTGCAGCGATAGAGAGCTTCAGCAAGGAGCAAGAGGACGCCCTTCAGCTCCTCTCCTCCCTCCAGCATCTTGAGCTTCATAGTTTCCCAAAGCTTCAACAACTTTCTGCAGGGCTGCACAACCTTAGCAGCCTCAAGAGATTATCAATCTGCTACTGTCCAGTCATCTCGTCATTGCCAAACAATGGCCTCCCCAAATCACTGCAAGAGCTAGATGTCAAATCCTGCGAAAACCAGGAGCTACAACAGGAGTGCAGGGGGTTACTGGGTACCATCCCAAGAATCGCAATGGACTGATCCAAGGTAACACAAACATACTTTCTTGTGTTTTTTTTACTTTTCCCTTCTCCTGCAGTCCTGCTTAATAATACTTCGTTTGTTCCCATCCGCTGTGCAGGACAATGCCTTGGAGTTCCCTTGTACATTCTTCTAGCCTTGTAGAGCACAACTCTTTCCATACAAGCACACTTTCCACATGCATGACATGAGGGTCTTGTGGCTGCAGTTGTACAAAAATCTGGTAAGTAGGAGTATATCTAAACTGAAACTTTACTCCTGCTGTACCATATCTGATAAGACACACTGTGTGCTTCTGCGTGGAGACATGACCACTATTACAACTTAAGACTGACGCTGACCAATAGAAACTCTAGGCTGAACTGCTACACAAAACAGAACATGCATCCCTTCACCTCCTGTGAATAGATTAAGACAACCTGTGAGCTACGTAGCTGTTTGCACAGCTAGTTTATTCTACTGTCCAGCACATGGTGGTGCGCCTAAAATACCTTTCTGAGTGAGACTTGTCAGCATCTTCCTTTGATGCAAAGCAGAAACAACATACTCCCTCCGTCCGGAAAAACTTGTCATCAAAATGGACAAAAAGGGGTGTATCTAGAACTAAAATACATCTAGATACATCCCCTTTTATTCATTTTGATGACAAGTATTTCCGGACGGAGGGAGTATTTCTGAACTGAACCATAACTGGGCTCCCTCTTAATTTGTCCTAATTTCAGGCGGAGCCATTACATGCAAATTAGCTGCAGGAGATTTCATAGGGGTGTCTACATCAATATCAATTATATACAGTTCCACTTATAGTCTCCGCAAAAAAAATGCACTTTTACTCCTGCGTCATGCCATATCAGATTTCCATTTTCTTCTCAATGCCACTTGTCTTTAAACAAGTCGATAACAAATACATTATTATCAGCCAATGCCTTCAGCCTTCTGCAAGTCTATCTTCTTTTCTTCCTAGTTGTAATTACGAGCGTAACCTGTGATCACCATTTGTTTTGGTTCTCTGTGTGCAGGTGTTCGTTCGATCTTGTAGGCTTCTTCTTTTGCTTAAATTCGAGTTATTGTCATTCATCAAGACGTGGCAGTCTACTCCCCTACTTTGGGTCTCACGATCAAAATAGCAGTAGGACATCAGTATGGAATAAATGAGACTTCGGGTCAAGCTACTGATATTAAGGTGATTATTTTATTTTTATATACTGCTATGTTGCTGTCAGTACCAGGTGTTCTTGCATTTCTAATTTCTGTTTGCTTGCTCTTCAGGTGTTCTTATGTTTGTTTGGTGGGCTTTGAAGCCACTTGTGTTTACATTTTGTCAAAAACTCATGAAGACTAAAGGTGTGCCTGGAAAATCTTCACTTATAGGGATCAAAGGATCATCTGGCAACTGATAGAGTGATAGTCAGTGTTTTGATGCTGATCATATTTGCAGTTTTGACATCCAGGTATACTTGCAGCTGATAGGTTTGCGGTTTTTCAATTCAGTCTACATTCTACTAATACCAAGTATTCTTGCATGTCATAAATGTTGTTGTTTAACGAAATTTAATGGCGTATAGGATTTTCAGAAGAATAACCGGCTTACCGTATCAGTGCACATGTGGAGCCAGTTCAGAGCATAAGCAGTAGTAGCAGTCTCATGGTAATGCATTGCAGGGCATGTGCAATTTTGAAATTGTAAAATTCCACTATGGCACTAGGGTGCATAATCGCAGCCTATTTATGAATAACACTAGTTTGTTCCATCTCAGTATAACATTAATATGTAAATTACCTTTATTAGCAGTGAATCAGGATGTCGATTAATGCTGGGAATTTACTTGGTGCCCCAATCTATTTACATGCGAAACCTGCCTATCTAGTGATGGGACTGTAAGTACCTTGCCCTGGTATAATTTTTACCTATTTCAGTCAGACATGCATGTAACTCCACCTATGTCTTCTAGGCATAGCCGGTCCCAAGCCCGGGTAAAGGAGGAGGGTTGTGATAGGCTTGGCGAGCCAACGTAAAAACTAGCCAGTCCCATAGGTATGAAACCCATTTGAGCGAGAATAGTACTAGGATGGGTGACCTCCTAGGAAGTCCTCGTGAAAGGGTTTCATATCTAAGGGTTGTGATAGGCTTGGCGAGCCAACGTAAAAACTAGCCAGTCTTTTGGGTATGAAACCCATTTGGGCGAGAGTAGTACTAGGATGGGTGACCTCCTGGGAAGTCCTCGTGAAAGGGTTTCATATCTAGCCTACCCCAACTTGTTTGGGATAAAAGGCTTCGTAAGTAAGTAAAGTAAGTCAGACATGCATGTAGTGCCAGTAGCTAACCTCAGTTATGATGTTTGCTCTGTTTTGTAGATGAATCTCCTCGGAAGCAAGATATTGAGTTGGGGGAAAGGTGTGGTTGACTGAGACAGTCTTCTTCCACTGCAATAGCCAGACGAGATTGGTGTTGTTCAGCGCATGCAGTTTTGAGTTATAACTGTCAACTGTTGCTTGTGACATCTTTGATACAGTGTGCCAAATCCATCTTAAGCGCATGCTGGTCACTGTGGAATTGCTGCAGCCATTGCCAACAGCATCCCCCAAAGCACATTGTCAAGCTGTTGTTGCAGAAAGATTTTTCGAAGGTATCCCCGCGCTGCTGCAGCATTGTGCAAGAAAAGGATAAAGGTCAGGTCTAAATATTCAGATTGCTTCTTTTTTTTTTTGCAGGTGAGATGTGCTTCACTTTTTTTTTGTGGGAAGAGATGTGCTTCACTTTAATCACATGGAGGGATGATGCTTTTGTACTAACCAACAAGCAACTCATTTGCGCAGGCCACAATGGCAAATAAGCAAAGCAAGATTACCATTTCATCAATGTGCAGCTGACGGCCTTTCATCACCAAGAAAGAAACTGACACCGCAAAGGTAAGAAGGAGGCTATATATGTATGTCTGCTCTGTGTAGAGGGACGCTATGAATAATCAGCTGACTGAATGTCTGGTCGATTTTTTCAGGTGTGAGTAATTGGTGAAGGTTTTGTACTCACGGTTCTCGCCAAGAACTGCAATTCCAGCAGAACGTTTATTCATGTGAGGTAATAAGGCCACAGTGAAATGCAACTCTGCAGTAGCTAACATGTTCTCATTAGTAGCTTAACCGGCTTGACAACTTTTCAGAATTGGAGTGCTGCCAAGGACGGTGATGAGTTGAATTGCAAGTCTGCGGAATAAAAATGCAAAGGAAGAAGAAGCCTTTCCTAGGCTAGGCTAGCAGAAGCGTAGCCCGCCGTTTTATGATGTCGCTGAGAATTAAGCTGCTGTGACGAGACGACCACATTGTTCACATTCATAGCGTGTGTGTGATGGTCTGTATTGGTGTCGGTGTGTAAAAAAAACCAGATTTGGGGGCTGTTTTCTTCAAAATTACCCGAGTGTTGTTGCTGTATGTCATGCCCATTTTAATTGAATTAACGCTATTTGCACTTCAGTTTTCCTTTCGCAACTATTCACGTCTCTTTCTTTGCTGGGGCATTACAAATTCAAACGGTCAAACCAACATATCACCCATGCCTGCAGAAAAAAAACACATCCATTGGATTTTTATTTCATTCTTCTTATATGTTACTCCCTCCGTCCCATAATGTAAAAACGTCTTACATTATGGGACGGAGGGAGTATTTGTGAAATCTGTTTTCTTTTTTTCTTTTGCGGATGGCGCCCTTTTCACCTCTTTGATGTTTTTTTTCTTTTTTGTGTTTCTTTCTGGTTTCCTTTTCGGTTTTTTCCATGTTAGTTTTATTTCATTTTTCCTCTCCTAGTTTATCTTCTTTTTATAAATTAATGAGAATTTTAAAATTTCTGCACATTTTAAAATTCTTTAATAATTTTCAAATTCATAATGAATATTTTGAAAATTCACAGACACTTTTTCAAAATAGTGAACGGTTTTTTGTAATTCATGACATTATTGTAAATTCACGACCATATTTTAAATTTGTTAATGTTTTCTGATTTTGTGAAAAACTTCAAGTTAACCAAGAACCAGAGAGATGTCTTTCTAGCCCGCGGTCACTGTCTTTTTTTAAGCTAGCGCCATGAGAAAAAGTGCAGCGATTCATGCTACCTAGCCACGTTGAGAGGAGCAGGAGAGCTAGCGCTACTAGGCGTGGCCCATCAAACTAAATAGGCACTCCCGAGTTCACTATTTGAAGGTTATTGTGTCAAATTCTTCGGCAAATACACAGGGGCAACATCATGTGCCAGGCCCCAATAAGAGGAGAGCAAGAGTGATTTTCTTTCAATTCTATTTTGTCTGGTTGGTGTTTTTATTTTTGTTTGTTTTCATAGGTTTTCTACCTTTTTGTCTTTTACTTATTATTTTGGAGTTTCAATCCTTTTAAAAAAATATTTTTTGTCACAAATGTTCATTTTTCTAAAAGAAGGATTTAAAAAAATCATAGAAATTATACTCCCTCCGATCAATATTACTTGCCGTCGCTTTAGTACAACTTTGCCAAAGTAACAAGTAATATGGATCCGAGAGAGTAAATTTTTCCTGATTTTCAAAAAGGATTGCATAATTTTCAAAAATGTATGCAGGTATTTTAAAAATATTATGTATTAAAAATTCCACAAACTTTTCCTAAATAATTTCCATGCAATTAAATAAGTGTTCACATTTTTTTGAAACACGGTGATAAAAACAGAAAGGCATACTAAAAGGAAAGTAAACCATTCGGTACATAGACAATCGCAATGCCTAACTGTCTTGTAACACAATGGCAAAATGTAGCAAAGGAGCGCCAATGTAATGCTCTCTACATAGATTTGCTGAGCCGATTGTGTTGGCCCATAGAAACGCAATGTATCGAGATGATACTTTGGGCCATATCGAATGAGCACTGTAGCGACTCGGTTCGAGACGGCTCTGTAGCGGCCATCAAATCGTTTTGGCTGGAAGGTCATCAGACTAGGTTCATCCATCATCGTAATCTGAGATTTATGCAACCTAGCTAG